GATGCATGTAGTCCTAGTTCTCCTTTACCTCAATCTGCTCAGCAGGTATAGGTGCTCAATAAACAGGAACAGATGCAGAAGAAAGAAGAAAATGTATTACGATGACATTAAACCACACCTTTTACGAGGAAATCCTCATCTTGATAGAGAACACTGTTCTTTTTAGAGGTTGCTTTGCAGTGGTCTCAGACTTATCAGTGGGCACAGTAATTGCGGGAGAAACTTAAGAAAAGATGCGGACGCAGAAGCTGGCACCCCCAGGACTCGTAGACATTCAGCTGGGCCCTCCCAGGAGGAGAACGTAGTCATGCCCGGACCTCCATCGCCCAGCCTCAGGCCGAGGGTGACCACTAAACTCACAGCTGTTGATATACTTTTTAAAAATATATTTTTATTGACTTCAAAGAGGAGGGGAGAGGAAGAGAGATCTAGAAACATCAATGATGAGAATCACTGATGGGGATCGAGCCCGAAACCCGGGCATGTGCCCTGACTGGGAATAGAACCGTGACCTCCTGGTTCATAGGTCAGTGCTCAACCACTGAGCCACACCCACACAGCTGTTGATACTGTTGACCTAAACTCCTAGGCCCAAGATGGAACTGCTCCTGCCCGGGGTGCCACGTCAGCGAATCGGAACAGATGACTTCCGTGTCCCTGTGAATGCTGTGCTAGACCAGACACTCAGACTCCAGGCGGCCAATCCCCAAACTCAAGCCGACTCCTGGCTCTGTGCTTACATCCTGTTTTTCCTTCCTAATCCCACCAAAGCTTCCTGCCTCCCGCCCATTTTGCAGTTCTCCGAGTGCAGACTGTCTGCTTCGTGACGTGTTCATTGAAGTTTGTCTCATCTAAATTGTCTTCTTTAATAATTTTTAACAGTAGCTTTGGGGCCTATTGAAAGGTAAACTGAGGTGTATACAATTTTTAAGAGTGGATTTGAGCAAAAATCATTTGAGCAAAAATCTTTGGCAGTGCCAAAGCAGAAGTGGAGAGGAGCGCTCCCTGGCCAGCCCGGGAAGAAAGAGACTGTCAGAGAGAAAGTGCGGAAGGAAGTTTGTGATTGGCTGTGACCTAGGGCTCGCTGGCTGTTTGTCATCGGTTGCCCTGGCATTCTGACGTCCTAACCTTGAGGCGTTTACAGGCTTGGGTTTTGGTTTGCTGACCTAGGCCGCCATGGCAGGGGGATCACCTCCGTCCAATGGCCTCCTTGTTTAATTAATTTCACAGGGCTGAGCTGCCCAAGTTGGCATTGGAAACCTACAAAAACTGAATTCTAGGATCCCAACCTTAAGAGAAATAGTTGGCCAAATAGAAGCCACATTTGAACAAAAATGCAGTAAGAGGGCACATTTTTTATTTTTTATTTTTTGACAATTAGATATTTTAGTTTGTGTTTTACAAGTGTGTGAGTCAATTCAGTGTCAACCCAGTGGAAGGAAATACTCGCACTAGGCCAAGTGTGCGTTCTGTTTTGGATGGGATTCTGAAGGCAGCCAGGCCGCGTGGGCTTAGTCCTGGCATGGGTCAGGTCTGGGCTCTGCCATTCACTAGCTGTGTGACCTTGGGCTAGGTGCTGACCCTCTCTGGGCCTCAGCTGTAACATGGGAATCATAGCATATACGGCAATGATGCTGTGAGGGTCAGTAGCCACCTTGATGCTCGATGGATTGATCTGTCTATCTATCTATCTATCTATCTATCTATCTATCTATCTATCTATCATCTATCTATCTCCCTCTGTACACCAGGCCATATACGCAATGTGTTGGCACAGTCTGTGTTGGAAACAGAAGCTCTGTGATTGGCTATACCATATCCGAAAATAATGGAATTTGACGATTTTGGATAAAATAAGATCGTTTCCTTCTCTAATTTGAGAACCCAGTAGAACACGAGAGTTTGAGAACCTAGTACCATGTAGTGAACATCGGAGAGTGAGCAGAAATGGAAGGGATTAGCTTTCTTCTTTTTGCCGCTCTGCTGTGTAATAGAACGGACATGACCTTTCAAAGCTCAGGCTAGCCCCGTCGGATGATGGCCGGAATCAACCTCGGGGAGCAGCTGCTGAGCGCACGGCCTGTTTCTCACTCTATAACAGGAAACTCGTGTTCTGAGCCCCCTGTCAGGGCTGCGGGGAGGATCGGAGGCAAGGTTTGCTCAGAGTCAGGCGGGAGCAAACACTTTCAGCGAGACCTGCCCCTGGCTCCTCCGAAGGCCTCTTTAGTTCTGTAAGTACAGGCAGCCCTCCTTCTATTGCGCTTTGCTTTACTGCGCTTCACAGATACTGCGATTTCTTACAAATTCAAGATGAGACCCTCTGCCACTCGCTAGCTGAGGGCTCAGATGATGGTTAGCATTTTTTAGGAATAAAGTATTTCTTTTAACTTAGGTATGTACATTGTGCTTTTAGATATAATGTCATTGCATTTAATAAACTACAGTACAGTGTAAACATAGCACTTATGTGCACGGGGGAACCAAAATATTCACTGGCTACTGGCTTTATCACAGGATTCGCTTTATTGCTGTGGTCTGGAGCCGAACCCGCAATATCTCGGAGGCGCGCCTGAGACACTAAGCAGAACCTGATGCCTGGTGAACAAAGACTTGAGAAGTACCCGCCCACCTTCCAGTTAAGAAACAACTGGGAATGGAGGTCGAAATCACCCAGGCAGCTGAACGTGAGGCAATCATAGAAGAGGCTCTGCCTCCTCCCGGGGTCACCGTGGGCACGTGATCGGAACTATTTCCAACCCCTCATTGGACTCTCGTGAAGACGAAACGGGTCATTCCTCCAAAAGTCAAGCGTGGAGCTACCATAGTAACCGGCAACTCCACTCCTAGGCGAAACCCGAGAGAAATGAAAATGCATGTCCACACGGAGACTGTCCCTGAGCGCTCACAGCCGATCATTGATCACAGTCAGAAGGTGGGAGCAACCCAAATGCCCGTCAGCAGACGAATGGATAAGCACATTGAGACGTATCCACACCACAGACCCTCACGGGGCCATGGAAGGGAATGAAGTGCCACCACCTGGTGTATGATTCCATTTGTAGGAAATGCCCAGGATATCAAGCCTCTAGATTCAGAAGGGTGACTAGTGGTTGCTTAGGGCTGGGGGGGACTGGAGGGGGAACTGGGTGATAGCGCATGGGAACAGGGTTTCTTTTGAGGTGATGAGAATATTCGTAAAAAAAGAAGCCAGATACACAAGGTCACACATTGTATGATCCCATTCATATGAAATGTCTACCGGAGCCAACTCTGTAGAGGCAGAAAGCAGATGAGTGGCTCCTAGGGGTGAGGGGAGTTATTGTTTGATGGGGACGGGGAATTTTCCAGGGGTGAGAACAAGACTGGAAACTGGGCAGAGGTGTGGCCGCACAATGTTGTGAACGTGCTAAGTGCCACCGAATTGTACGCTTTGAAATGGCTAATTGTAGGTTATGTGGGTTTCACCTCAATTACAAAAACGATGAAAGCAACCACAGCACACGATAAGCGTGCAGTGACTAAGTGACCAACAACCACTGGGGCCTCTGTCGGCCACGCCGGCAGCCTTCCTGCCCCGTTACTCACAGGCCTTTGTGAGGCCTGTTTGAGGCCCTCCCACTTTCAGAGGCACCACGCGTGCTGCATCACATACGTTAAAAGGCACCACATCACATCTTAAATATTTTTTGAATGTAGACTAGATTTTTTAAAAAAATGACATTGTTTTCAAAATTAGTTGGCTACGAGGTGCTAATTTAATCTATTGTGCTACTCGAGGGTTCTGAATTCCGGGGAATTGAGAAAATCAAGCTCGCAAATTGCTTTCAAACGTAGTGGGATGTGCACATATTCAGACTCCAACCATCAATGAATGGAGACAGCGTGATAGTTTGTGCACATTTCACGAAACAATTTTGACATCGTCCTTTTCCTTCCCCATCTGGGCTTTCAAACATTTGCACACCCCGCCCACAACATTCTAAGCTGAAAGCGTAGCCCTGGATGCCCAACAGACAAACCAGGCCCGCCCCACCCCCCCCTGCCCCCAGCAAGTGCCCTTTGGGTTCCTGTTCCATTATTTGCAAATAATCTTGACAGAAGACGGAGTCCAAGCAGCGAGCTTTCGGTGTGTGAGGCCACGTTGAGCTATTACTCTGGTACGGAGGGTTTGGAGGGTCTTTCAATGAGGAGTGGGAGGGTCATGGTGTAACAGGGCAGGGTAAGTGCCCACCGCGAGGTGAGGGCTTTCAGGCAGACTCTCCGAAGAGTCGGAAAGTCGTGCTGGGGCCTCTGTCGGCCACGCCGGCAGCCTTCCTGCCCCGTTACTCACAGGCCTTTGTGAGGCCTGTTTGAGGCCCTCCCACTTTCAGAGGCACCACGCGTGCTGCATCACATACGTTAAAAGGCACCACATCACATCTTAAATATTTTTTGAATGTAGACTAGATTTTTTAAAAAAATGACATTGTTTTCAAAATTAGTTGGCTACGAGGTGCTAATTTAATCTATTGTGCTACTCGAGGGTTCTGAATTCCGGGGAATTGAGAAAATCAAGCTCGCAAATTGCTTTCAAACGTAGTGGGATGTGCACATATTCAGACTCCAACCATCAATGAATGGAGACAGCGTGATAGTTTGTGCACATTTCACGAAACAATTTTGACATCGTCCTTTTCCTTCCCCATCTGGGCTTTCAAACATTTGCACACCCCGCCCACAACATTCTAAGCTGAAAGCGTAGCCCTGGATGCCCAACAGACAAACCAGGCCCGCCCCACCCCCCCCTGCCCCCAGCAAGTGCCCTTTGGGTTCCTGTTCCATTATTTGCAAATAATCTTGACAGAAGACGGAGTCCAAGCAGCGAGCTTTCGGTGTGTGAGGCCACGTTGAGCTATTACTCTGGTACGGAGGGTTTGGAGGGTCTTTCAATGAGGAGTGGGAGGGTCCTGGTGTAACAGAGCAGGTAAGTGCCCACCGCGAGGTGAGGGCTTTAAGGCAGATTCTCCGAAGAGTCGGAAAGTCGCAGAGAAGAAACCACCCTTGATACTATCTATTGAGTAGTGGGATCCTTGGCTGTTTATCTCAATGGCTTCTTCTGAGAAGATCCAGTGATTAGCAACAAAGTTAGCAACTTCTGTTTTCCCGGACAAGGGCTTCTGGGAATAGCAAAGCCATCGAGGAGCAGGGGGACGGCACCGCCAGCAGTGGAAGGCGGCCTGAGAGTGAAGCCACGTCAACGTAGACAGGAAACTGTGGGTGTAGACAGTTTCTGCTCCTGAAGGTAATCCGAGGCCACGTCACAGAGGGCTTAAATATTTGCAGGAATTAGGGTTTTATTTGGAGGAAAATGACACAGCCAGAGCTTGTCGTGGAGCACGAATGTGGCAGCGGACCAAGGACCAAAAAGCCGATGAGGCGGATGCTGAAATAGTTCAGGCGAGAGGGATGGAGACTTCGGCTAGAGAGATTGTAGCATTTACTACCCACGAGCTCATTCACCCCGAAAACACTGAGCTGGGTTTCATCTGAGTGGCAGGCACTGTTCTCCACGCCGGGCGCTTGGGGACCAGGGCGGGCCAGGACCTGTTGGTGTGATGCGTACCCGAAGCTCACGCCGTGCACACGTGTGGGATGAGTGACGTCATGCCTCTGCTCAAAGGCCTTCTGAGTCCCAGACTCGGACGGTTTCAGGCGAAAGTCTCAGCAGCCTCCAAGGTGAAGTCCTCCGTGTTAGTGTCCTGCGGCTGCCCTAACGAACGACCACACACTTAGTGGCTGGAAAGAACACAGGCTTATTCTCCGACAGTTCTGGAGGTCGGAAGTCCTCATGTCAAGGTGAGCAGGGTTGCATTCCTGGTGGAATCTCTAGTGCAGAATCTGTTTCTTGGCCTCTTCCAAGTTCAATGGGCCACTTGCATACCTCGGATAATGGCCCCTCCTCTGTCTTCAAGGCATAGCGTCATGCATAGCATCTTGAAACCTCTCTCTCTGACCTCAACTTCCATCACAATAGCGCTTTCTTTGAGTCAGAAGATTCTTGTGGCTGTATTTAGGGCCCACCTGAATAATCCAGAATAATCTCCCCCTCTCAGGTCCTTAACTTAATCACACCTGCAAAGTGCCTGTTGCCGTGTGAGGTGACATTCGCAGGCTTGGGGGTTCAGACTTGGACACCCACGGAGGGCTAGTAGTCCGTCCACCACACTCTCCACAACTGGGTCTCACTCTTCTTCTTCATGACCCCTCTTCCTCTCTGTTCCCCCGTGGAGGTTTCCACCCCAAACCAAACTGGTTTTCTCATCATCCTGCCCCACACTCATACTGGCTTCCAGAATTCTCTCCTAATATCCTAACCCTTCTCTTGACTCTTCCAAATTCTCACCATCTGTGAAGGCCTCTCGGACTCCTCTGGGAGGCCCCCTGGGAGACTGCAGGCCACCTCTTCCTGTGCCACCGACCCTTCTCACATAGCTCCTGTGAGCTTATTTATGTTTCTACCTTCTCCTGTTGAGGGCAGAGACTGAGCCTCGGCCATTGCTGGTTGAATCAAATGCATTTAACAGCAATGCATTATTTTAGCTAAAGAGCAAAGATCAATGGTAAATTCATACAATGTCAGTAACCAAGTAAATGCACCAAATAAATAAAACCACACAGTGTGGGAACTAAGAGCAACATGGAAGGAATGAATGGGGACCAGGTGTGGCCTGCCAGTGGGTTTGGACGGGAACTCAGAAAGAACCCCCTAGCCCCCGAGTTTTGAGGCCCTGAATTACAAGGGTGCGCTGTGGAAGCTCACGGGTATTTTCCAGGCTGCCTTTAGGAGCAGGGCACAGACCTCCCCTCCAGCAGGCAGCCGTGCCTCGATTCAGGGAATGAATGCAACAGCCCTTTCAGCTCCCTTTTGCTCTCGGAGTCGAAAGGGAATTGGGTCTGGGGTGAGCATCCCTGCATCTCTTTCATCCTGCTTCTCTTTCTCTTCCCCAGTGCGACCCTTTGGGACTGATTTTGAATGAACTATACACCTGCTCAGGAAAGTGCCCCTAAACAGGTTACTCGAAAGCACCCTGCTTGGCGGTATCTATCTATACTTCCCAGAAGCTAGATGCATCGTCAGGATACTAAATGCGAATAAACAATCTCCAAATCTCAGTGCCTTGTAATAAAGATCTGCTTTTCCCTCCTCCACAGGCTGATGCGCTAGGCAGCCCCCTTGGACTCTCCCCGAAGTGGTAACTCAGGGACCCCGTCGACTCGCACCTTTGAAGCCACCGTCTTTACGAAGGACCCTCGGGGTCCTGATGGAAGAGGCACAGGAGAACCGAGAGGCGCTCCCACCCCTTCTGCCCACTTTCCCTCAGCCTGGACCCAGTGAAATGGCAGCCTAACTGCAAGGGAGGCTGGGAAATACCCCCTCCCGTGTGCCCAGGCAGCGAGCACGAGGCCGGGATGTCTTACCTTGCCCAGCTCTGCTACAGTATATCTAGGTCAGGGGTGGGCAAACTTTTTGACTCGAGGGCCACAATGGGTTCCTAAACTGGACCGGAGGGCCGGAACAAAAGCATGGATGGAGTGTTTGTGTGAACTAATATAAATTCAAAGTAAACATCATTACATAAAAGGGTACGGTCTTTTTTTTTTTTTAGTTTTATTCATTTCAAACGGGCCGGATCCGGCCCGCGGGCCGTAGTTTGCCCACGGCTGATCTAGACAGACCAACCATTGCCTGTGGCTTCACCCAACTGTTTGGTTAATACGGCATTTCATCCAATACTCACAGATGCCTGGCAGCGTGGAGACGAAGCCTTCAGGTCAGCTGACTGATGATGGCATCATATCGACACGGTCACTGACTGCTTCTGCAGCCCCGGCCAACGTGCCCGGCCAGTGCGCACAGTCCTGTGGTAATTTCCTAGGAATAAAAAGTCTCCATTTCAGGACGAGGATAACATGCATCCTAAAGTGATTTGTGACTGGGGATTTGTTTGACTTTCTTTTCTAATAGCTTAAGAAAGAACCAGGCAGGCCCGGCGGGCGTGGCTCAGTGGTTGAGCGTCGACCTATGAACCAGGAGGTCACGGTTCCATTCCTGGTCAGGGCACATGTCTGGGTTGCGGGCTTGATCCCCAGTGTGGGGCGTGCAGGAGGCAGCCCATCAATGATTCTCTCTGGTTTTCTCATCATCAGTGAAGGCCAAGGGTTTTGAGGCGATGAAATACAATTGTAAGTGTATAATCGCCCGTCTATAGCGCGACCCTAAGGCCCACAGGCAGGGACGCTCTGAGGTCACTCCCCATCGGCTGGTGTGGAAAGAGGCCTGTGACGTGCATTCTCTCTCCCTTCTTCTCTGAAATCAATAAAAATATATTTAAAAAAAGAGAGAGAGAAAGAAGGAGGCAGACGGTCATTTATAAACAGAGCACAGCCACCTCACTGACCTCTTACTAGCCTGGACACACCTTGTGGCCCTGATGGCCAAGGGCACCAGGCTCCTCTCTGTGGATCCGGCCACACCCTGGGTGGGTGGGGAGGGAGTCGCCAAAGGTGACCCCCAGGCCAGCTCTCCAGCCTGTTTCACCTCCAGCACCGGCACCCCCAGCTCAGTCTGCCCCTCCAGGGGCTCTAGCCTCCTACTGGGGAGAGCTTGGTCTGGGACAGGGGCTTCGCCGCGCCTCCTGGTAGGAAGGGGTGGCCGGCGCTGGCAGAGTCTGGTAGAGTTTTTACCATTTAAAGGGGAGTATGGCCGAAACCGGTTTGGCTCAGTGGATAGAGCATCGGCCTGTGGACTGAAAGGTCGCAGGTTCGATTCCGGTCAAGGGCATGTACCTTGGTTGCGGGCACATCCCTGGTAGGAGATGTGCAGGAGGCAGCTGGTCGATGTTTCTCTCTCATCGATGTTTCTAACTCTCTATCTCTCTCCCTTCCTCTCTGTAAAAAATCAATAAAATATATATTTAAAAAAAAATAAAAAAATAAAGGGGAGTATGGTCAGAGATGCACTTGTGCCCTCTCTATATCCCTTTGAGGTTGAAAATATTTACTCTTGTATTCAGCGAGGGAATGTCTGTGAACTGCCTCCTGGTGCCTCACATGCGAAAGAATGTCCATCGCTCTGCTTATAAAAGGCCTTCTGCCTGTTTGGCGTCTTGTTGGTCATCTCACTGAGATGCCCCCCCCCCACTCCCCGAAATGCACATTTGTTGATCATCTTTCTGGCCTCGGTTCCTTGCACTGAAAGAGAATGAGGGGCAGGCCTGTTCCCACTGAGAACCCCTCTCACTCCAGAACCTGCCGGCTCCTAACTTCTCCCGCTGATGTCAGCATGGCCAACCCCCAGATTCCAGTGACTTCTTTCTCAATGCTTCCCACTTGGTACTCCTTGAAAAATAGTCGGAGGCAGGCTGAGTACCGGAGTGTTCTGGAATGCTCTTCAGTAAATCAATGAATACCATGAGAATGTATGCGTGAAGGACGTATCACGACACAGGGAGTGGGCGCTCTCTTTGTCTGTGTTGTTCACACACCTGCTTCCCAGGGCACAGCGTACCTTCCTTCCCGGAAACAAAACGCTCCCTCTTCTGCTCCTGCGGCCCCAGCCCGGCCAAGATTCACCGACTGGGGAAGAAATGAAAGCCGTGATGTCTTTGAACTTAACTGTTTTATGTGTTTTCGTAACATGCTGGTCTGGGACATCTGTCTTTGCTTAAAAGCTCATCTATTTATATCAACAAGCGTTTACATTGAGTCCCTGGACACAGAGTCACACAGACGTAGCACGAAGTGGGCTTTGACTACAATCCACTTTGAAAAATATGTGGCATTTGCTTCGAACCCACTCCTTCCCCAATAAAGTTAAATCCCAGAAATTTGTAAACTGTACAGTTCCGTGTACGCAAAAGACATCCTTTTAGCTTTTGCATAACACGTGACTCATGTGATTGTTGTGATGGTTGAGCGAGTGAGTCATTTTCGTACTAGGAGGTCTGGAGGACTGTGGGCCTGGGGAGCCAACTGGCTTAGAAGGCTGGTGATGGGATTACTCATTCAAACAGAGACCCGAGTGGAGGCTGGGAGCCACAGCCCAGATGTTTACAGAAGCACTGCCTGGGCGTGGAGCACGGAGCAGGGGCAAATTGGAAGTGGGTGGGGAAGACGGGGTTGGTGTTATGGAGCACAGCCATGCTAATGAGTGAGACTCTGAAGGACAACTGAGGAGGAGAAACCGAGGCTGAAACCACACTCCACCGAATTCTCTGCCCGCTCTGCCCATCCCCCTCAGTGGTGGCACACAGGAAATGTAACCCTATCCAGCATGTATTTGTCCGTATTTGTGCCTAAACAGAGTTCATTTTGGTGGAATACAATTTGTGAAGTCATTTCTTCTTTATTCTATGAACTGACATCCGTAAGTTATATACTCAGGGACCTCTTTTCTTGGAGAATTTTTTTTTTTTTACACTGAATAAAGCTACTTAAAGTGAATGTACTCAAAATGGGGAATATGATTTCATAGCCCTGTGGGAGGGAAAGTGTGACAACTGGAACGTCATCTTGGAAAATAAAACTAAAATGATGGCAATAAGTGTTTTGGTTTTCCATGAATGAATTTCAGGTTGTAATTGCAGCACCAGGCCTCACTGCCCAGCGAACAATTTCAGCTGTTCCTCAATCACGCTCTCTCGGGGCGTGAGACCTCATGTCCTGGGCAGGATTGGAAGTTTCCCTGTGCCATTAGTTTGCATCATCTTTGCACTGTGTTTTCAGAGGGTCTCAGTCCCTGCCTGTGCATGAGACCGGTGTTGACACTGACCCACCAGCCTGTGGTCAGGACTGGTATTCAGTGTGGAGGGGTTTGAGTGCCACTATTTCTGTAAAGGGTCAACTCATTACAGAATATTTGAGAATTATGGTAACTTTGGTTTGTTATACAATGTTATCATAGTTCTAATTTTAGGAGAAATACTCTAATAAAATACTCTAGTAACATCTATTGGTAGTTATTAAGGGCAAGGCACTTTATCGCCAATAGTTCATTTAAACCCCATGATGACCCAATAGTTTAAGCATGACTGTCCAGTTCTATAGATGTGGAAATCAGAGGCCCAGGGGGTTAAGTAACAGGCCTGAAGTCACACAGCGGCTAATGGAGGCGTGCCTGCTTTCAAAGCCTGTGACCCTAACCTCGCCTCCAAGTCCACTGTGCTGGGTGGTTACTTATCTAAAGATCACATTTACCCACAGACGGTAAGCAGGCCTCAGTTTTCCAAGCTCTGAACCTCCAGCCTTGACCAAAAGGAACCTCTCTCAACGCAGGTGAAAGGCAAGGCCAATGAGGAGGCGCTGGCTTGGTTATGATTTTAATTCCATGCAGCTCGGTTACACTCCAGGGCCAGCTCTCCATCGGGCCACGGAGCACCTCAGTAGCATATTCCCACGAGAAACCGGTTTCCAAAACATAGAAATCCTACCCGGCAAAACCCATCTCTACGGGTCATGTGCTATCTAAGACAAAGGCACTGCAAGGACACACAGACATAACCGTTTTCAGACACACCCTCCAACCGTACTTGCAGTTTCTTTGATGTCAACCAACGGATCCAGCAGTGTGCAGGCCGGGACAGTTTTTATCAGCTCTTCCCGTGTTCCCGGCAAAACGAGAGACTCCTGCAAAAACGTCAAATCCTTCGTGGGTGCTGAGCGTACCACGTGCACTGCCAACAGGCAGGGGGAGGAGAGCAAGTGGAGGGAGCTGAGTCCAGGTGTTTCCTATGGTGGCTGCTGATTGGCTGCTGGGCCGGTTGCCCCGCCCATGGAGAGTGATGCTGTGTGACCACGTGATGGCTTGGACCAAGGAGACCAGATCTCCAGGACAAGGAGGACCAGTCGGTGACTTGCAGGTTACTTCTCAAGCAGGTGCCTCCTGAGCCCAGCAGCCCCCCGAGGTCTCATGCCGGCCAGGTCATCTTTCCAAGCTCAGCGTCCTCGTTTCTGATTTGCAAAAAATAGCCACGCGCGCGGGAGGTATTGGAGAATCAGATGCAATTTCCCTGGGGCAAATAGGTGAGTGTTGTCAGCGATAAAAAGCTGATTTCTAGGGAAGGGCTGATGAGGAGCAGTTGGCTTTGCACAGAGGTTAATTTTCCCCCGCAGTGTTAGTGCTCCTTGAGTGTAAAATCACGTGACCATGTCAGAAGGCACTTTTTGGCATGATGACATCTGGACCTACAAATCCGAAAGGAAATCCCAGCCAGTAGAGTCCAACGTAGTGCTTGAAGGGGGCAAACCTGTGAACTTGACGACTCTCCGAGCACCTCATTTGGCTGCTAGGCGGCGTCCTCAGTGACCCTAATACACAGCCCTGCCGGCCATCATAGTTATCAGAGAAGTAATGCACGTGCCATGTTTGGGTCTGCGCGCACGGTCATCCCAGGGCAAGCCCTGGGAATGCACCGGATTCCAAGCCCTGCTACTCATCGGTGTGGGGCGCACACTTGGATGTGACTGCCTGCAATTAGGCCTCATTAAAGCCGCCCACCTAGAGCATGCTGCAAGCCTGGCCTTTACACATAGGGCTGGTTAATGAAGGTCATTAATAGGCACTGATGACGTAGTGGATGGTCGCTTAAAAAACACATCGGGGCCAGCAGTTTTCTCATTTCTAACAAAAGCAGGAAGGGCAGCTCGAAGCTTATTTGGAAGGAACCCCCCACTGGGCCTCCAGGAATGGCTGGCTGGCTGGCTGTGTCGGGCTGTTCAGG